TGGAGGAGGAGGAGGAGGAGGAGGAGGAGGAAGTGGAAGAAATGGAGGTGGAGGAGGAGGAGGAAGTGGAAGAAATGGAGGCGGAGGAAGAAGAGGAGGAGGAGGTGGAGGAAGTAAAAGAAGAGGTGGAAGTGTCGGAGGTGACGAAGGGAAGAAAGAAGGCAGAGGAGGAAGTGAAGGAGGAGGTGGAAGAATAGGAGGTGGAAGAGGAAGAAGAGAGGAGGTGGAGGAGGAGAAGTGAAAGGAGGTGGATGAGTAGGAGGTGGAAGAGCTGGAAAAGTAAGAGGTGGAGGAGAGGGCAGGGAAGGAAGAGGCTGGTGAGGAAAAAGGGGGAAGAATCAGAAGAGAATGAGTTGGAGGAAGTAGGGCAGGAAGATAACGAATAAGAAGGAAGTGAAGAAAGGGGAAGATGCGAGTGAATATGAAAGAAGTTATAAGGGACATTCATGAGAGAAAAGAAAGGGAAGGAAAGTGAAAAAGTCTTAGAATCTTACATTTGGCTCTCCGGGGGAAAAGGAGGGAGGGGAGGGGAGAGGGAGGAGGGTAGCGAAGTGAATGTTGGGGGAGAGGGGGGGGGGAGTGGGGGGGACGAATGAGATAAAATGGTTAAGGAACAGCTGTTAGTTCTGTGTTTTTTTTTTTTTTTTTTTATCTCTGATACTCCGTTCCCAATGTAATTTATTTTGTTTTTTTTTTTACTCATTTTATTTCTACCATTTTCTCGGCACTTTTAATTGCATGGCTTTTCCTGTGCCTTTTTTTTTTTTTGTTCTATTTTGTTTTTACTTTGTTTGTTGTTTCTTTTCTTGTTTCTTATCATATGCATATGCTGTAGTGGAAATTTATGTCTGTGAGAAGGAGAGGAAGAGGAGAAGGTGCGAGAAGTGTGTATATCAAGATGTATATTTATATGTATTGGAGGATTATAGAATATGTGTCTATTTATTGTCTTCTCTTGTTTTTGATGGGCGGTTCTGTGTGCAGTATCTTTTCAAGTTCATGTCTTTTTTCTTCTTTCTGATCTCATTCTTCCTTTTTCCATAAACACGTGAAGGTTTGGCGTGTAAGTGAATGTGGTTAGGAAAAGGAAAGAAGGAAAAGGTAAGGAAAAGATAACAGCTTTGAAGGGAATAGTCAAACCGAAAGAGGTGGAAGGGAAGAGAAGGAGATCTGGTGGAGGCTGGAGGTGGAGGTTGGAGGTGGAGTTAAAGTGGGTTGTGGAGTATGGCGGGGAGGGGAAGGGGGGGGCGGGGGGAGGGGAGGGGAAGGGAGGGGAGGTGCCAGCATCGTAGCGGACAGAACGACTCTTGACTATTTTTCCCTTGTTGATGTTGGGTAAAATAACCATTCATTCATTTGTCTTTTTAAAATTATTATTAGCATCATCTTCATTATGATCTTTCTCTCTTTTGCATCATTTTAAATTTGATTTTTTATGACGTAGGAGCAGCAGACACAGCAGCAGTGACGTCATGAAGAGAGGGAAGGAAGGCGGACAGCGAGGGAAGACTTCACCTCCTGCGGGCGAGGGTTTCCAACAGTCTCTCGCTGGCTTCCATCTGGGGAGAGACAGAGCGAGACATGATTAGGGACAGAAGGAGATTAATGGGTATAAGATGCTCGGTGGAAGCGGCTCCGGGAACTAAGATGGAGGATGGAGAACTACAGGGTTATAGAAAAATACTGGTTCGTCAAATGAATGAAGTGGATTTGCATGAAACTTTTAGCAAAACATGAATGCATATAAGCACACACACGCAAACACCAACAGACAAACAAACCAAACACACAAACAAATACACTCACTCGCACACACAAACATAAAAATAAACACCCACACACACACACACCCGCCCACACACATACACACACACACGCCAAACCCTTGCTCAACACAGGAGGCCCATGAAGCCAAAACTTAGTTAGTAAGGTCAACCACACAAATCGAAGGGGGCTGGAGGGGGGGGGAGAAGAGAGATGAGATTAAGGTCTGGAAGGAGAAGGCAAGAGAGTACGATAATAAAGGGAAGAAAAGAAGATAAAAGAAAATCTAAGTGATAAGAAAAAAGAAAGATCAAGAAAGAGAGAGAGAGAGAGAGATAGGATAGGTAGGATAAATAGATATATAGATAGAGAAAAAGAGATAGATAGATAGATAGATAGAGAGAGAGAGAGAGAGAGAGAGAGAGAGAGAGAGAGAGAGAGAGAGAGAGAGAGAGAGAGAGAGAGAGAGAGAGAGACGAAGAGAGAGAAAGAGAAAGAAAAAGAGAAATGAACCGAAAAGGGCCAAAACACGAGAGGACAAACAACAAACAACAACAACAGCAGCAATCAAAAGGGCCTCTCTACCTACTCCACAAGAGATTGTACATCCATCCCCTCCTCCCCCCCCTCCCCTTCTACTCCAGCGGCCGCAGGAGTAATCTATCGACCAATCAGACGCGACCCTGATTTCCTCCGCGGCCTCATCGTCCGGATCTAAACGCCTGGCTTCTGGTCACCCTCGGCGGTGCGGTCATGACCTGATTTGGGAGGGCGTGTTTGTGTTTAAGGGTGTGTGATTGTGTTTATGTGTGTGTGTTTGTGTGTGTGTGTCTATGTGTGTGTCTTTGTGTTTATGGGCGTGAGTTTGTATTCATGTGTGCGTGTTCGCGTCTATGGATGTTTATACGCACGCGTGTGTGTGTGTGTTTGTGTTTATACGCGAGCGTGTGTGTTTGTTTACAAGTGTTATTCTGGTCGTGTGTGTATCTGCATGTTGGATCGCACTCTGAGAAGAGCTGTTTCCTTCTGTCGCAATCATTGGCCACGCGTAGTGCTGCGGGAGTGTAACAGGTGTCCTTTCGGCGCTCAGTGGAGGATCCTGGCTGGGCGCTGTCTTGTGCCCTTTCTCTCTTTGTTTCTTACATCCTCTCTCTTTTTGGTTGATTGCCGTTTTCTCTCCTTGTCTATCTCTCTTTTTTTCTGTTTATTTTCGTTTTCTTTCTCTGTTTATATATCTCTCATATTTATACTCTCTCTCTCTTTCTTTCTCTCTGTCTCTGTCTGTCTGTCTGTCTCTCTCTCTCTCTCTCTCTCTCTCTCTCTCTCTCTCTCTCTCTCTCTCTCTCTCTCTCTCTCTCTCTCTCTCTCTCTCTCTCTCTCTCTCTCTCTAGTCTTTTCTATCTCTCTCTCTATCTGCCTACTCTCTTTTTATCTATCTGACCATCCACGTATCTATCAGTAGATTCCCTTTCTCCCTCGTCTCCCCTTCCCACATTCTTTCACATTCTCTCGGATATTCTCACTCACCAGAGCATCTCCTGAAGGCATGGCGTAGTCGCTGCGTTTGCCGAATCTGAAAATAAAGAAAAAACGGAAAGGTGAATAAAAAGGTAATAAAAGATTAAAAAGAGAACAAGAAAGAGGCTGAACAAAATCTTATAACTTTCTAGCCATGACTGTAGTGGAATTCCATGTCGGGTTTAGCGGTGTGTGGGATATCATAGACCTGAGATTAGCGGCGATGTAGACATACGGAGGGGGATGGAAGGGGGAAATAAAAGTCAGGGATGGAGGAAGGCTTAATGAAAAGGGGGAGTGGGAGGGAGACAGAAGGAGGGAGGTAGGGAGGGTGGGGACGATAAGGGAGGGAGGCGGCGAAAGAGGAGATGGGGAGTGAGGGATGGAGGGGGAGATAGAGGAGGTAGGGAAGTGAGTGAGTGAGAAAAAGAGTAGGGAGTGAGTGAGTGAAGGAGAGAAAGAGGGGCTAGGGAGTGAGGGAGGGATGAGGCGAAAGAGGGATGGGGAGTGAGGGAGCGAGGGGGAGAAAGAGGAGGTAGGGAGTGAGTGAGTGAGGGAGAGAAAGAGGGGCTGGGGAGTGGGGAAGGGAGGGGGAGAAAGAGGAGGTAGGGAGCGAATGAGTGGGGAGGAATAAGAGGAGATAGGGCTGAGGGAGAACGAAAATCAGTGGGAGGGTCGCAGAGGTCGAGGCGGTGGCAGACGGCAAGGCAGATATCAAATGCTAGGAACTACATTATCGGAATCAAGAATATAGACGAAGCAGACGTCGACCAGTTTCTGACGAGGGCGAGACCGAGTGAATTTCAATACACATTTCCCTCTAAAAGCACTTAACTGCGCAGTCCTATGGAGGCAAAGGAGGCCGTGAAATGATTACTAATGCATTTTATACTACACTTTCCTGTAAAAGCTCTTAGCTACTCAGAGTGTGTTACTGTGTGTGTGTGTGCGGATGTGTGTATATGTGTGCGTGTGCGCTTGTGTGTGTGGGTGTGCCGGTGTGTGTGTGTGTGTGTGTGTGTGTGTGTGTGTGTGTGTGTGTGTGTGTGTGTGTGTGTGTATTGTGTGTGTGTGTGTACGGGTGTGTGTACGTGTGTGCGTGTGTGTGTTTTGTGTTGATGTGTGGTGGTGCGTGTGTGCTTCCTTGTTCTTCTTGCACATCTTTGCTTGCACTAGGATGCAATTTTACACGGCACGCAAGATCATGTTGACAATCAAGATCACAACTTTATTAGAAAATATTTGACATTTTTTTCTCCCTTTGAGAAGAGGAGAAGAAGCAAGAGGAGTGGAAGGAAGAGGGAAGAGAAGAAGGGAGGAGGAGGGGGAGGAGGAAGAGGAAGAGGAGGAGGAGGAGAGGAGGAGAAGGAATAGGAATAGGAATAGGAGGAGGAGGAGGAAAAGAAGAAGAAGAAGAAGGAGGAGGAGGAGGAAAAGAGGAAGAGGAGGAGAGAAGGAGTATATAGAAATGAGAGAAAGAGAAAGGGGGAGTGGAGGAGGAGTGAGAAGAAGAGAATGAGGACAATGAAGGGGAGGGGAAAAGAAGGAGAGGAGAGGAAGAAGAAAGGAGACGTTTAGCTCTATTACCTCCGCCACTAATTAANGGGCGGGTTACCTACTTCCCATTATTCTTGTCCTTTACTTCCCACGTATATGTCTGCCATCTCCCTAAACTTCGTACCGCGTTCTCTTCTTTCTACTATTTTCCTTTCCTAACT